GCACGCACGCACGCACACACACACACACACACACACACACACACACACACACACACACACACACACACACACACACACACCCCTACTACAAACTGAATAAAAGTGACCAATGTATTTATAAACATGTTGCTGAATGTTGGGTTTCTACCTACTCTTACTTTGTGTTAACTTATGGAGGGCTAACCTCCATACTCTTTTGTACCATACATTAATAGAAAATGTTGTATTACCCTTCCTTCTTTGGGCTATTTCTATTCTAGCAGCTATTAATAAGGGGGAGGGGAAATCAATTCCTTATTGGTGGGGGCAGTCTTGTTTTCATATTACAAATAAAGCAGGTTTAAACAGTGGGATGAAATAATTGACCCGAACTCAGAACCTTGCACAAGTGATATGAATCCCTCTGTCCTCCCTAACCCACTGTCTGAAGTATCCCTGTTAGAGATGAGGGTATTCATATTCATATAAGAATGCGAATATCCCCATACAGCTGTACTTAACGAGGGTCCAGCCCTTGGGGCTGGACCATCCACTCACGCGTCTGGTGACGCTGGCAGCCCCGCTCGTCCTTTTAATCGTTCCCAGAGTGCCAGTCTCTTCCTGCTTGGCTAACCACTCCAGGCAGGGGGAGGGAGGATGAGTCTCCCTGAATGGCTCCTGAGTTGCCAGCCAAGCAGGAAGACAGCAGTGCTCCGGGAGTGACTGGAAGGATGAGTGGGGCCACCGCCAGAGCTGGACATGTGAGTGGATGGTCCGGGCTCAGGGGCCGGACCTTCGTTCAGTCCAGCTGTGCGAGGATATTTGTATTTGTATACAAATACAAAAGCCTCTATCTCTACATTCAAGTACAAGGATACTTTTTTCTTCTTTTGGCTATGGTTACAGTCTGTTTGCATTCTTACTTGAAAATATTTCTTTTTTCTATTTTCACAGACATATTATCTCATTCTTCTTGTTCTTGGAAAATTGAATTTAATTATGCACATCTTTTATTTATATGGTCTTTAAATTCTTCAGGAATATTATCTAAATTATATTTTGTACTGTAATTGTTTGACTGTTCTTCTTTAGCTTTATTCTAATTTTTTATGTTAACAGTTCATGGTCTGTACCACAGTCCACGCCTGGTCTTGGTTTTGCAAAGGAGAAAGAGTTTTTCCATCATCTACTTCCAGTTACACAATCTATCTGATTTCTGAATTGGCTGTCTCTGGACACTGGCATGTACAATCATCAATGTGGTTGTCTGAAGCATATATTTGTATGAAACAAATTGATGGCTTCACAGGTTTCTGCAAATCATTCTCCTGTTTATATTCTACCTCCTAGGCCAAGCTATCCAATGGTTCTTGGTTCAGCTTCCTTTCTTCCTTTTTGTATTTTTGTGACCTTTGACTATCAACACACCCTCCTGTTGTGTGTGCAATCAGTTTCTTTCTAGACACTTCCATAAAACTTACAGTTTCTTCTTTTTCAGCATCTGTAGTTAGACAATAAACTTGGATGGTTATGTTGATAGGCTTTCTATGAAGTTTGGCTGATAGTATTCTGATTGGTCTTATTCAGTCAGACTTTACATTGTATCCCAAACTGTTAGTGCTACTTCTGGCCTCACTTTTAGAGTCACACTGTTTCCAAAGTAAAACATTTTTATTTGACTGAAAATTTCCTATTTCAGTCCTCTTTAGTTTGGTCACACCAAGTATTTGAACATTGAAGTGAAACAAAATATTTCATATCTTATTTTATGATCCTGAGCTTGCCTTGATTCTTATTTCTCACATTACGTTTTCCAGCAAAATGGGACATGTTGCATTGGGCTCTGTCTTTGCACATCAGCAAGTAGAGAGCCTTTCAGCTTTAATCCAGCTGGTTTCACAGGTACAGCATTAATTGTACTTACCCTGAGATCTTCTCCAGTAGCTGGCTGAGTACCTTCCTACCTGGGAGTCTCACCTTCCAGAACAGTATCTTGTTTCATTCGGGATGGTTGCCTCATAGGATTTTTGAAGCGTAAAATATTCACAGGTGGTTTACTGTGGCCACTTGTGCAGTATTAACAAGATTTTTTTGAATGTCTATGAAATATCCTCTGCCAGCAATCCACTAACTGCCTTTCAAAAACTTTTCCACCCTCCTTACCAGGGGAACTACCACTTCTCTTCTGCCAATGTGACCATTCCTAAAGAAGGAGAATGTGTCTTAATCTCACCTTTGACCCTTCTGCCTTGAGTGACTCTGCTCAGGGCCCAGGCTCAATAACAGCATCTAGCCTCCTGATGGTATTTTCCTCAGCTTCCCTGAGACACTCAAACCTCCTCACTATCCTAGGGTGTCAACGGTTATACAGCCCAGAAAGTTTGGTTGTTGTGGGGTTTTTTTGGGCTCTTTGGCTGTGTTCTGAAGGCTGTTCTTCCTAACATTTTTCCAGTCTCTATGGCAGGCATCTTCAGAGGACAGCACTCTGTGCTCTGGTGTAGTTGGCTTGGGAGTGCCGACCACAGAGACTGGCGAAACGTTAGGAAGAACAACCTTCAGAACAGGGCCAAAGAGCCCGAAAAACCCACAACAACCATTAGATCC